TTAACAATAGTAGTTTTTTTGTTTTGTTAATACAATTTTATCAAGTTGTAGGTACTTAAAAAAAAAAAATTGACATAATCCTGACTTATTTTTCATTGTTGGGACCCATTACTCAAGATGAAATGCTAGGTCAAGGTTATTACATGTTTTTACAAATATCAGTGTTTTATCTTGAACTGTTTTTTCTTTAGTTGTATTCTACAGGTTTCAGCAAATTTCTCTTTTAAGGAAACAAGCTATAAATGTTGGTAGATGGCAAGGTAACAGTGAGACCTGGGTCAGATTAACTTTTTGTTTTGTTGACCTCCAAGATAACAAAAACGGTATTGTTAATTTGTCACGTTTTTTTAATTGTATATAGATGTATAGATGAGGCTCCTAGCCCATAAAACAACCAGATAATCAATATAAAATACCTGTTTGTCAAAAAAGATTTTTTACCAAAATTAATACATGGGTTTTCGACAATATGTTAAAATTGTTATCTTTTTTATCAGATTATGCTGAGATAAAATTAAATTTAAAACATATATTTTGAACGTTTTAAAGTTGAATCTTTCTTTTGTACTTATTAATAGAGCACCTAGGCTTTTTGTTAACACATAGTTTTTGTAATACACTGCACTGTTATTATATCATAATAGGAATTAATGTTTTAAACTATAACTGTATATCAAAAACAAACAACATAATCGATTAAGGGAAAATAGAGTTGCTAAGATTATAATTTTTTTTTTTATTAATAGGTTTAAGAAAATAGTTCACATTTATTATACATTTTATGTAAAATAAATTTCTAGTTTTGTCTACGATGATTATTTTTTCTGTAATATAAATTTATAGTAATATAATCCTACTAATATTATAAATATGTGATAGTATGGATGTTTGTGTATAACTCTGAAGTTCTATCATGTGAAAACTACTGACTGATTAAGCTAACATTTTGCAGAGAGATACTTGATTGTTTTAAGAAACACATAGGCATATTAAGGTTGTGAAAATCCTATATGACTATGCCCCACAGGGGTTCTAAGTTTCCATGCTATTCTTATGAGTATTCTTATTTAAATATCCCTGCCGCATCAAACCTAAGCGAATTTCCAATTACCTGGCTGGATTTCCACTAAAATATTCCGTAAAAATAGTCAGATTTATTTCATATTCAAATAACATTACTTTTAGTAAGTGATTTTGAGGTGTGTTTTTTATTGCAATGTTGATAGCTTAGTATGAAATAAATAGAATTTCTAAATTTCGTTAAAATATATCCATAAACAAGCTAACTACAACAGTTTACATATTCTCCATAAGAATAACATGGAAATTTTAAATTTACAAAATTGAAGTCATTCCTTGGACATAACATATAAACAGTAAAGGCCCCAGAATGAAGCCTTGAGGAACTCCATGTTTAATAGTAAAGTTTCTGATACATATCTTTATCCAAAATCTATAACAAGTATGGACCTGGTTGGCGGATTTTGGATGTTTGACATTATTTCTACATATTGCACTCTTTCTGAAAGATATCATCTAAACCAATTTAAAGAAGTGTTAAAAATACCTGAAGCTTTTTAGTAAATTTATAAAAATATCAACTATGTTATTTACTTTTTCAACAGCATCAATAACAGTTTCTGAAAAATTAAAAAAGTAGTAGTAGTAGATTTACCCTTATGAAAACCATGCTGTTGTTTGTCAAAGAGTTTGTTATAATAATGATGATCAACCAATTGATTATACATTAGCGAATTTCCGAATAGTGAAGTAACTATTACTGTAGGTGGCACGGTAAGACCTGGGCCCGGGACCAATATACTTGCTCAAAATTTATATATATATATTTTATATATATATCCGTGAGTGTGATAACTTGAATAATTTTTTTTTATTTTGATAAAATTTGCTATAATAAGGTGTAGGGTGCAATAAACTTAATGAGTTTGCGAATCAGCATGATTGGACCACATGGGATTGGGGTCTATGGGGGAGGGGTTTATGGGGTAAAAATTGGATTTTCTCAATTTTGACCCTTAAAACATAAAATTCCCAAATTTATATTTAAACCGTTTTAAAGAGCATAAAAACAAATAATTTAGTATATTGAAGTGTTTTTCTAAGGTTATTGGCTACAGAGTTTATTAAAAAAAATTTAAATTTAAAATTCCCATGTTATTCTTATGGAGAATTGTTTTAGTTTGCTTGTTTATGGATATATTTTTATCAAACTTGGCCAATTTATTTATTTTTTACTATGCTATTCTTATTTTGCTAAAACACACTTTATTTCCCTTCCTGTAGCAGCATACCCAGGTTTGTTAAACCTCATGTTATTTATATATTTAATTGAAAATCCAACCAGGTAAATAGAAATTCGCTTAGTTTGCAGGTTTGCTGCGGCAGGGGTTTTGTAAATGGTCAAATGGGTATAATTCTAGAAATGTTTAAGTAGCCAGGGAAAATATCAGTTATTAATGACCTGTGTGGTTTTAACAATGATTTTCCTATGTATTTGAATACATAGTTCTAGGGGTACTCATGACCAGCAGATGATTTGTTTTTTAAACTTAAAATTATTTTTTCTATCTCATCTTCATTCACCGGCCTTCATTTGAAAGGAATTATGATAGTTTTTTGATCCAGATAGCTACTTATATTTTGATCGTCTTTCAATTAAATATTATTTGGGGTACTGTTTAAAAAATTTTCTAATACCTCAACAAAGTAATTATTAGAACAGTTTGAGATGCTCAGAGGATCTGCTATCACCTAATCGTTAATTCTAATTTCAGGAGGAGAATCCTTAATACATTTAGATTTATTACCAGTTTCAAAATTAATCATCTCCCACGGTTTCTTACTAACATTTTCTGATTTATTTATGAGTTGATTGTAAAAAGATTTTGCCGCCTTGATCAATCTACTTTCATAATTTGTATTTAAGAGTTTACAATGATACATCATTTCTATATTACCAGACATTTTTGCTTATTTTGTAAGCTCTGCAATATCTTTTTGTTATGTTAATAAATCCTGGTTTATCCCATTAAATTTACTTTTATTCACATTTTTTTACTCTCTTTCTAGGAAAAAACTAGATCAATTATATTGGAAAATAATACTATTAAACAATCTATACACATATATATGGAAACCCAATTGACAATCAGTTGAAAATAATTGTTTTGACAATAGTTACAATTGACTGAATAGTTTGATTTGATAGTTTTTAATGTTTAAACAAATATTACGAGTTACGTATGATTATGATAGTATTCAGCTACAGTTAGCCTACAATAAATATTTTTTGCTGTATAGTTTAGGATACATTCTTAATTTGTTTTATACAATACAATTATCAGTATCACATTGACATTAATCAATACATTAAGTTCCATCCACATAAAATTCATTGACTGACACATAACTGAAATCTACCTTATTAGCTAATAAAAGAAGTAGTCAAAGTTATTATGGAATTCCATACAAAAAAATTATGTTAATTTGATGGATTAATGTGACTAATAAATCATTATCTTTTTCAGAAATAATAATCCAAGAGCCCAAGTATAAGAAAACAGAAATTCAGTTTATAGCAAGGAAACTAATAGAATTAATCTCTGACATAATTGTTTGAACAACAGTTTAAAATAATACTTATACTAAACTTCAAAGAACAAATGAAGTAATTAACTAGAATGTACAACTAGAATTTAAATTATAATAATTGTAAAAAATATGAAGAAAAGCATATTCAATTTAATAATTTATATGTTATTATGTATCTTAAAATACTAGAGAAGACAGAAAAATCCCTCAAATATGTTGTAATATCTCTGATATGCATAAAAGTTTTATGAGCAAGAGACAATTTAAAGTTTATCTAGATTGCTATATGTAACCGCTAAACATTTAGCAAATCCAAACAAGGAAGATATTTCAATTGTCATACAAGGTTTTCTAACTAGTTTGGCCCTCCGAATAGTTACTAGCTTAACTGATAAACAAGAAAGGGCCAAATTACAAAAGTACCAAAACACATTAAAATGCATACTATCAAGTGTCTATTTTGTGGAATGATCTGTTCAAAACAATTGTCAAAAGCTCATATATTATTACATACTGGCGAGCATCCCTTTAAATGTTTGGTCTGCGAAAAGACCTTTGCCCAAATACATCAAATAAAGAGTCACTTGTTAAATCACTCTGGGAAGGGTCCTTACAAATGTACTACATGTGGAAAATCCTTTGCATCCAAAAGCTATATGAAGATACACTCATTGGTCCATTCAGTAGAGAGACCTTATAAGTGTTCTATATGTGGAAAATCCTTTGCGGCCAAAATGTATTTAAAGAATCATACATTAATTCATACTGGAGAAGAGAGACCTTTTAATTGCAATACATGCGGAAAATCCTTTAAATTGAAAAGTAATATGATACATCACACAAAGAGACATTCAGGTGAGAGACCTTATAAATGCAATATTTGTGAAAATACTTTTCTGACCAAGAATGAGATGAAGCTTCATACAAGGGGTCATACTGGAGAGAGACCTTTTAAGTGTTCTACATGTGAAAAATATTTTGTGACAAAAAACGTTTTGAAGAAACATCACACAATGGTCCATACTAAAGAGAGACCTTATAAGTGTTCCACATGTGAAAAATCTTTTGCAAGGATAGACATTTTGAGGGGTCACCACAAAAGGGTTCATACTAGAGAGAGACCTTATAACTGTTCTTTATGTGAAAAAACATTTGCAACAAAAAGTGATTTGACGGGTCACATATCTATGTATCACAAAAGGGTTCATACTGGAGAAATGAGACCTTATAAGTGTTCTATATGTGAAAAGAGTTTTGCAAGGAAAGACGTTTTGAAGAATCATCTTACAAGGGGCCATACTAGAGAGAAACCTTATAAGTGCTCCACATGTGAAAAATATTTTGTGACAAAAGAGTATTTGAAGTTACATCACTCAAGGGTTCATACTGGAGAGAGACCTTATAAGTGCTCTACATGTGAAAAATCTTTTGCAGCAAAAAAAAACTTTGGAGGAACATTACACAAGGATTCATACTGGAGAGAGACCATATATGTGCTCTACATGTGAAAAATCTTTTGCGACAAAAGATGATTTGAGGGCTCACATAGGGGTTCATACTAGAGGGAAGAGACCTTATAAGTGTTCTATATGTGAAAAGAGTTTTGCAAGGATAGACGGTTTGAAGGGTCATCTAAGGGTTCATGCTGGAGAGAGACCTTATAAGTGCTCTACATGTGAAAAATCTTTTGCAACAAAACTAGCTTTGAAGGTTCATCACTCAAGGGTTCATACTGGAGAGAGACCTTATAAGTGTTCTACATGTGAAAAATCTTTTGCAGCAAAACAAACTTTGGAGGAACATCACACAAGGATTCATACTGGAGAGAGACCTTATAAGTGCTCTACATGTGAAAAATCTTTTGCGACGAAAGATGATTTGACACGTCACATAAGGGTTCATACTGGAGGGAAGAGACATTATAAATGTTCTATATGTGAAAAATCTTTTGCAGCAAAACTAACTTTGAAGGATCATCACACAAGGGTTCATACTGGAGAGAGACCATATAAGTGCTCTTCATGTGAAAAATCTTTGGCAACAAAAGATGATTTGAGAAGTCACATAAGGGTTCATACTGGAGGGAAGAGACATTATAAATGTTCTATATGTGAACAGATTTTTACAACCAAAGGCGCTTTGAAGGTTCATTACACAATGGTTCATACTATGGAGAAAATAAGAACAAGAATCTGAATATTACCTTATAATCTGAATTTTGATCTTTTATAATCTGAATGTTACCTTATAAGTTCTCTACATGTGGAAAAACTTTTGCAACAAAAGATTATTTGAGGGGTCATCACACAAGGGTTCATGCTGGAGCGAGACCTTATAAGGCACACTTCCACACTCTTGATTCTTTTTATTTGATGCAATGAAATACTTAACAATATTAGTTCATTTGTTTCCTTGATAAAATGTTGTTAAGATGAAATGCTAGGTCAAGGTTATGACATGTTTTTACAAATAGCAGTGATTTATCTTGAACTGTTTATTTCTTAGTTGTATTCTTCTGGTTTTGGCAAATTCCCCTTTTAAGGAAAAAGGATGTTGGTAGATGGCAAGGTAACAGTGAGACCTGATGGTTCAGATTAAATTTTTTTATTGACCCCAGAGAGAACACACACTGTATTGTTAAACTGTCAGGTTTTTGTATATATAGATGTATGGACGAGGTTCTTAGTTTAGCCTAAAAAACAACCAGATAATATATATAAAATTTCTGTTTGTCAAAAAAGTTTTTGAACCAAAATTAACATATTGTTTTTTAACAATACGCTAAAATTGTCATATTTTTTGGCAGATTAATATTATTAAAACTAATAAAACAAACCTTTATAACAAGTTTGAATTTTTTCTTTCGTACCTATAGAAACGATAGGCTTTTTGTTAACACATAGATTTTGTAAAACACCGCATTGTAACTGTCATATCATATACACTAATGAGCTAATGTTTATATGTTGTTAATTTAATTGTTTTTAATTTATGTTCATAATTTTCCGATACTTGATGGCAAATCTTGGCGTGCATATCTTCAATTCGAGACCTCAATCATGAAAATCGGTCGGGTAGAAGAGCCGAACGAAATCGAAAAACTAAAAACAAATTTAACTCCCGTAAGACATGACATGGGGAGCAACTTTCGTTTACGTATAAGCCGACTGGGATTATACAGGGTGGCTGAAAAGTAACTTGCACCCCCCCTTAACTTTTCAACCATTTGAGATATTTGAAATCGGTTTGCGGCAACCTTCTTAGATATGAGGGGCTACAATAAATATAGTCAATTTTGAAAATTTTTCCCTTAGGGGTGCGGGGGTAGGGGGTAGCTCAAAATTTTCAAATTACAAGCAAAGTCAAGTTTGGTATCATTTTACAGGTCTTGACGAAACATAAACATTGACATAAAGAAAACCAAAATCGGCTCACTAATAACAAAATGGCGCCCTAAAACGTTTCAAATCCAAATAACCATGAGGGTGGCAAAAAATGAACTTGCACCCTCTTTAACCTTTTAACTATTTGAGATATTTGAAATTGGTTTGCGGCAACTTGTTTGGATACGAAGGGCTACAATAATTATGGTCAGTTTTGAAAATTTTGCTCTTAGGGGTAGCAGGGGTAGGGGGTAGCTAAAAAATTTTAAATAGCAAGTATAGTCGAGTTTGGTATCATCATGTATCATTTTACAGGTCTTGACGAAACATAACAAATAACATAAAGAAAAAAGAAATCGGACCATTAATAACAAAATGGCAGTTCAAAATTACTTTAAATAACCATTGCCTCAATCATTTTTAGCTGCCATTTTGTTATTAATGGTCCGATTTCTTTTTTCTTTATGTTGTTTGTTATGTTTCGTCAAGACCTGTAAAATGATACCAAACTCGACTATACTTGCTATTTGAAAATTTTGAGCTACCCCCTACCCCCGCTACCCCTAAGGGCAAAATTTGCAAAACTGATCATAATTATTGTAGCCCTTCGTATCGAAACAAGTTGCCGCAAACCAATTTCAAATATCTCAAATAGTTAAAAGGTTAAAGAGGGTGCAAGTTCATTTTTTGCCACCCTCATGGTTATTTGGATTTGAAACGTTTTAGGGCGCCATTTTGTTATTAGTGAGCCGATTTTGGTTTTCTTTACGTCAATGTTTATGTTTCGTCAAGACCTGTAAAATGATACCAAACTTGACTATACTTGTCATTTGAAAATGTTAAGCTACCCCCTACCCCCGCTACCCCTAAGGGCAAAATTTTCAAAATTGACTATAATTATTGTAGCCTCTCATATCTAAGAAGGTTGCCGCAAACCGATTTCAAATATCTCAAATGGTTGAAAAGTTAAGGGGGGTGCAAGTTACTTTTCAGCCACCCTGTATAAATATATGCTGATGCTTGATGTGAAATCTTTGCATCCATACCTTAAATTTGAGACCTAAATCATGAAAATCAGACAGGTAGAAGAGCGAAACGAACTCCGAAAAGAGAAACAAAATTTAACTCTCATAAGAAATAAATGGGGAGCAAATTTCGTTTACGTAAATGTCGATTCACACATATCAGTTCAGTCACAGTTCCGTTACAGTCCAGTAACAGTTCAGTCTCAGTTGCATCCGCAATTTCTCAGTCAATAGTCCGTCAGTTTGTTTCAGTCAGTCTTCCGTCTCCAAAATTCACAGTAATTTACAGTCAAAAGTTTTAAATTATAAACCTATATTCTATCAAGTTTTCATTGTCCATCTTGTTAGTTGATTGTAACAAACAGTACTCAAAATATAAACACAACCATTTAAACAACAATAACACTATTTTCCAACCTTAAACCGGTCCATCAGGTCCGAACAATCCAAAAGTATCGGTGGAAAGAAATCTGAAATTAACTGACGGATGCCGGTAAAGCGACTGACGGGACTGCAACGTATAAGTGTAGATAGCGCGATAGAAAATCCATTAAAGAATATTTTTGTTAACTGTGACGTGCCTGAAGTGACTGGACTGTGACGTTCCGTAACTGATGTGTGTGAATCGACCTTATTAAGGTATTACCTTATTGTATTACTTTAGAAATACATTAGTTTGATAAGTTACAATCATCGATCTCTATTACTACTGTTGTACCAATAGAGATCGATGGTTACAAAATGAGATTTATTAGAGGAATTACAAACAGAATTGATTGAATTTAATAGAACCAACAATAGGTTTTACATAACGTTGATAGGTTTTACAATATGGCGGTGTTTCCTCAATTTGATGATAAGGTTCTAGGCCTAAGTTACATATACTTAAAGTTCTCTTATTAGCCTACAGAATAAAAATCCAGTTGGTTAACGGCCAGAGTGCATGGTGGTGAGTTGTCCTCTCTTCACCCACGGCCGCCTTTAACTCCAAGGGTTATATTATCTGTGCTCCAAGCCACGGCCTGGGGCCCATTTCATAATAAACTACAAGTTACAAGTTACAACTTGTAACTTGTAATTTCCATTAGATTTGCATTGGGCGATCAGCTGATTTACTAATAATATTAGTTTGTACTTTATTATGAAATGGGCCCCTGGTAGAATTGGCAACGTCGCAAGTAGGTTGTTTAGTGCCATACGTCCCATAAAGCTGGGTTTTCCTAGGCGCGGAAGCAGAGAGAGGAACGCGGAGAGCGGAATTGATGGCAATCCGCTCCGCTTCTAGGAAAACAGTAACATTAAATTGCCTTAGACAAGTGGAGTCCGCTCTCCGCGTTCCACTCTCCGCTCGCCGATTCCCCGTCTAGGAAAACCCGGCTTAAGATAACATGGCAGACAGATCAGCTGCAGCTCATTAATTCGCACTTTATTGATTTAAATTAAAATTTATGAACAAAAAATTTATTAAAATATTGAAAACTAGCTGTAACCCACGGGCTTTGCCCCGTTTAACTTCTTAATTTTCAAGATTACCGTATCTCGTTCGCATGGCTCAATCACGTCCTGGTTGAAGTTTGTTCGCTACGCTCACTCACCTTTAGGTTGGAGCCCGTTCGCTGCGCTCACTTGCCTTCAGGTTAGCTCGTTCGCTACGCTAACTCGCCTCCAGGTTGAAGTTCGTTCGCTACGCTCACTCACCTTTTGGTTGCAAATTAGCTGTTGTCATAATAAATGTAAAAGAAATAATAGTGCTGCACCCTGTTGGTAATTCTTGTAACTTTAATGCTATTGAACATCATAGAACAGAACCAACTTGTTTAGTTGAAACAGCTGTTAAGATTCAATAACTCCATTTCTCATAAGTTTAACATGGGAAACTCCAGAGCCACTGGGGCGGAGCCCGAAAGGATTTTTGAAATAAGAATATGCCTATATGTTAATCGGGATTGTGAGCTATCATCATGCCAAATTTCAGCCCAATCCGACCAGTATTTTTCGCGTTCACTTGTCACAAACATACATCCATCCAAACTTTCTCATTTATAATATTAGTAGGATATTAGTAGGATGAAAACATACAGAATTGAAAATCTATATCCGTACATTTAAAGTAGAGTCAATATTTTCATAGTCCAGTAACCAAGCTTTCTTAAATACACAAATACCATTAGCTGCTTCCAAACAAAACAGCTGTTACAACCCTACTTGAGACGTTGTCACTTTGAAGACCACGGCCTGTTATAGTAGTTATAGGAGGTCATGCTCCACCTCTTTAGTGTGGTGGCTGGATGACGTCTACTTACAAGGTGGCGGATTGACGGCACCGAACATTGAGCGTACACGTCAACCCGCCACCTTGCAAAAGTAGTGGCGGGTTTGGGGTTGCACGTTGTCGCCTACGTACGAAAGGGGTGGGTTGACATCAAACATGGAGCTTCAAGACAACCCGCCACTTATGATAAAAACTGGTGGTGGTGGGTTGTCGTGGTGACTCATTGACGTGAGTCACCTTTAACTACAGGCCGCAGCCTTGTAGAATTGGCAACATTGCAAGTGGTGTTGTCTAGCGCCAGACGTCCCATAAGATAACATGGCAGACTGGTGACACCAGCTCATTATTTCTCGTTAATTAAAATTAAAATTTATGAACATAAATTTATTAAATTTATCCATGGCAGCGACAGCGACATGGATCTGGATTCAAAGCGAGTAGGTGATAACATAGATAAAACATACTACCTTGTGTTGGTTAGTCTATGGTGATAATCATGGTGGAAGGAATTACGTCATAGACAAACTACCCAACACAACACAAGGAGTATGTTAAATTTTATTTTTCATTATGCCCGAGTAATCAATTAGTTATTAAAATACTTTTCAAGAAAACAAACACTGGTGTTAAAAATTGTCTTTAACATTAAACATATATCTTACTTATTTAGAAATCTATTTCCTATTTTTAATTTTCATTTTTCCCTTTTCTTAGGTTACAATGCCCAGTCCGAGTCCAAGTTGAGTTCATTACTTAAACCCCAGGTACTTCAAATTGGTATTGGTTGGTACAGCTCCAGCTGTTAACTGTAAACCATTGTTTGTTTTGTTTTCCTAATTCCTTTATTGAGTAGGCTTAGGCTAGGAGTTCTTAAATGCTTTACTATAAGAAGTACCTTAACAAGGCCAGTTACAGGTAATTATAAATGTAATAGGTACCATGTAAGGCATCAGGATTTAATCTAATTGATTTATCCTAGTTGATTGTTAGGTGAAGGGCCTAAGGTCTAAGGAGTTAAGTAACTTAACCTAGTTTGTAACTAGAGTATCCAACAACTAAGTTAGGCCTAATACACTTACTGTAGTTCTTTAGCAAGAAGATTGATTAACTTATAGCTTAGAGTTATGGAAAAATGAAATATAAAAC